ATCACCCTTAAGGTGTATAATATCCTCATGGCAACTGGTGTAATACTGCAAAAGTAAACCCACCAGTATTATAGCAATTAGCAAGATGAATATTTTTTTCATACTTTATAAATTTCTACACGTACAAGAAAAAGCGTCAAGCGAAATTATTTAGCAAAAAATTAATATTTGCAGCAATTTTAATACTAATTTAATAATTGAGAATATACAATTAAAGCATGTTTATTAATATTGAGGATAAAATGCCATACAACACAAAAAATGATAAAAAACTTAACGCTCAGAGAAATGATAGCAGCATTACTAGCAGTAATGCCAGTGACGACGTTGCTGAATTAAGAGACTTCGATGATGTTCCTGTAGTTGTTACAAAGAAAGTAAATGAATTATATGCAAATACATCAAGGCGTATTAGCCAAGATAATCCATTTTTAGAGCTTTTTAATGGCAACACCCAGAGAAATCCTAGCCAAATTGGGGGTGATAATAATGATGTTGAATCAGATGCTGGTTTCACCGATAACTTTGCTGATTGGAGCCACTTCAGTGTTACCGCGTCTCATGAACCATTTGGCGATGCTGTTAACAATCAGAGAGGTGTAAAAGTTCTTAGAAACTTTGCTCCCGTTATAGCTGATCCCACTAGATTAGCAAACTTCGATAATGCATCACGTCCATACAGATCAAATTCTGTTGACTCAGATGCTACTTCTACTAGCAGTAATCTAAGCGATGATAGCGATTTAGACGAATGGGTAGTAATAAGTGATGAAGAAGTCAGGTCAGCACAGAGAAAAGGCTGGAAGGAAGCTTTGGCAGAACATGGAGCAGTAGTAAAACAAAAACTTGCTAAATTGGTTGGTGCAGATCCCAATAAAGAATTTTTTGAGTGGTCATCAAAACAGCAAATACATGCGTGTGGTATAGTAGGTGGATTATTGATTGCAGGAGCTCCAATTATAATAGCTGGTGCAGGAATTATTGGGATAGGTGCTGTAGTACTTGGTGGAATGTTTGGAGTAGGTTTTCTATTATTTGGAGGTTTGAGTGCAATTGGAATCGCAGGTGTAAAAACAGTTCAAGGATTTAATTGGACAGCGAAAGCAGTAAGTGAGGGTACTAAAATTGCTACACGGAAAATTACATCAGGGGTTAGCAATACAGCAGGTACTGTAGGAGCAAAGATACAAAGCTTATCTACTACAACTGATTATCAAGACAAACTACGGAGACTTACTAACACGCAAAACAAAAGTCATGATAAAGTAGAAGATGAATTTCAAAAGCAAGTTAGTGGCGATAAAAATCTTTCAAGAAAAGACAGAAAGGTTATTACAAAAGCTGTACTAAAAAAAATAGTGTCAATTCTAGACTCAGAGATAAAAAATATAGAGGGAGAGAAGCTAATGGCAGAAGCAACAGGAGACAAAGAGAAAGTAGCAAAAGCAGTAGAGACACTCGATCTGTTGAAACAACAGAAAGAACTTTTTGATGGTCTTAAGCCTGGAAAAGCGTATAAGCTTTTCAGTGGTCAAAAAACATCAATATCTAATAAGGATCGTTACTTATTCACTATTGCCGTTGCTGGAAATTCTAATGCAATTATAGATGTTATAGGTGCGGAAGTGCAGAAAGCATCAGGACTTGCAAATAATGCTTTAAATGCAGCAGGCAAACCAGACCGGTCTGTATTTTACGGTAACGATGATTCAGGAGTAGAGAGTGACGCTACCTTTACATCACTCAGTGAAAGCTTGCCTGAAAGTAGACGTAGCAGTTACGCTAGTGAACATACTGAAGATAGAGCAACTCCTCTTGTTACATCTAGGTTGAATGTCCCAAGTTATGGTACCTTCTC